CCATGCCCGGGGCTTAAACAGGCCTATTCTATGAAGAGGAGAGGCTGAACTCTGTCTAGCTGGGCGGTAACCATGCCCGGGGCTTAAACAGGCTTATTCAATGAAGAGGAGAGGCTGGACTATGTCCAGCTGGGAGGTAGCTTAAACAGGCCTATTCTATGAAGAGGAGAGGCGGTAACCATGCCAGGGGCTTAAACAGGCTTATTCAATGAAGAGGAGAGGATGGACTATGTCCAGCTGGGAGGTAGCCATGCCCGGGGCTTAAGCAGGCCTATTCTATGAAGAGGAGAGGCTGGAGTCTGGCCAGCTTGGCGGTAACCATGCCAGGGGCTTAAACAGGCCTATTCTATGAAGAGGAGAGGCTGGACCATGTGCAGCGGAGAGGTTGCTATGCCCGGGGCTTAAACAGGCCTATTCAATGAAGAGGAGGAGAGGTTGGACGCGGTCTGGCTGGGAGGTAGCCATGCCTGGGGGCTTAAACAGGCCTATCCCATGAAGAGGAGAGGCTGGACCATGTCCAGCTGAGAGGTAGCCATGCCCGTGCCGGGGGCTTCAATGGAGACAACCGGCTAGAGAGGAAGCCAATTCTGTGAAAGGCCTGCTGGTGGGGTTGAAGTGAAGCATTGTCTTTTCTAGGGTTTTGCGTGGTTGTTGCATTTGCCGTGGTTTTGTTTCTGTCGCCTTTTTCGCTTTGGTGATTTTCTCCTTTTGCTTTATCTCTCCTTTTCGATTGTGGTTTTGTTGCAATGCACTGTCTTTTGGCTTCTTTGCCGCTTTTGTTCTTTTCGACTTTGCCGTTGCTGGATTTTCTTGCTTTTAAATGTGTGCTCGTGGGCCTCTTTCCGTATGCTTGTTTGTTTACGTTGCTCGTGTCGACTTGCGCATGGCTTTGCGCAGCTTGGTTCTCCCTGTGTTCGTCTTTCTGTCTGTTTTGTTGGCTTTGTTATGCTCCCGGGGGTTGGGCCTTTTCTGTTTGGTAGCGCGCTTTTCTCTTTCAATGCTTGGGTTTGTGTAGACCGTTCTATCTGCAGCCTTCTTTGCTCAGCTTCTAGACTGAACGCGCGGCCTTCTTCGACGCAATGGGCGGCGCTTCCAAGAGCTTCGCTCGCAAGGGACCCGGCGGCAAGGGCGAGGCCAAAGGTTCCGAGAAGTATGTGAAACGGGTGGACCTCTTCAAATATTTGGCAAGGTGGGCATTGCGCTCGTACCCGGACAGCCAGGGGCGCCCGCTGATGACGCAAGGAGCGGACGCTGCAAGCACCTTCGAGGCAGACAAGCTTCGGGGCGTGCTCGACGCGGATTTTTGCGAGCTTCTCCGACGACCCTGTACGGGCGTCAACCTTGCTGCAGCTTCCCTGGACGGGGCCATGCTTTTCGCGCCGAAGCTGCAGGCCCTGATGGACGATCTGGTCGCCGTGCTGGAGAAAGAAGCCCTGGCAGAGCCGGTGCGCTACATGAACCTCTGCCGAGACGTGGAGTGGGGGAGCCAGGAGAGCTTAGATGCCAGCAAGCGCTTGTTGAAGCAGGTGCGGGCCACCTTGCGAGAGCACCAGTCCTTGCTGGCACAGGCTGCTGAAGCATCTGCCAGTGTCTACCTGGGCACCATGGCCTTGCTAGAGCTGGGGTCTTTAGCGTTGGATGTCAAAGCATGGGGCAAAGGGATTGCTGAAATCGAGAAGCAGCCGAAGGCCATTCGAGCCTGGGCACAAAAGACGGCAGATGAGCAACGGCTGTGCCGGGCCTTGGCCCAGTACATCAAAGAAGATTTGAAGAAGAACCCAAATCGACGACACGATTTCGGCGATTTGGCCGATGGGGATTCCGACACCTCCGGCATCGATTCGTCGCAAGAGGCTGCCACTTCTCTTTCGGCAGCTTCGTTTGCGGTCGAGGGCGCATCTTCGTCCTCTCCCAAGCGACGCCGGGGCAAAGGCCACGCTTCCAAGAAGAAGAAGGCCAAGAAGGAAAAGAAAAGCAAGCAGGAAAAGACGGCCAAGGCCAAGAAGCCAGCCCCCAAGCCCCGCGGACAGTCCAAGGACAAGACGAGCTCCCGCAAGACTGGCAAAGCTGCAAAGCAAAGCAGCAGCGACAAAGGCGAAGAGGAGTCCCACGGCTCCAGCTCCATGCGATCTGCTCCATCCTCCCGTCGACCAGAGAAAAGAGCCAAGGCAAAGCCTGCCCCCGAACCAGCCCGGCCTCTCACAGCCTTGTGACCCTTGGCCGAAATGCAAGCTTTCGAAGCCAAAGCTGTAGAGCAGATGTCCACAGCAGAGGGGGCCATTTTGGAAGTGGATCAGAAGCTGGCCTTCGCCAAGGCCTTGCCCGAAGAGATCCAGAAGCTGGCGTGGTCACGCGCCGGCTTGTTGCCGACAACCACGGACGATGCGGTCCTGCGCGCAAATGCTGCTCGCTTGATGGAGCACACTACGACCGTGGTCCGGGAAGCGCGGCTGGCTTGGGTGGACGCCGCCGTGCGGGATGATGCGGTGAAGGCCAACATTGCCTTGCTGCCCCCTGCAGACTTCCTCGCCCGGGCCCAAGTGGAGTGCATGCCTGAGAGTGTTCGCGCGGATTGGAGCCGCGTTCTCAAAGGAGATGATTCTGCCGACTTGGTGGCCCTGCGTGCTCAGCTTTTCCACAACATGTGGAGCCTGGACGCTGCCGTGGAGAAGTATGAGAAGGGTTTGAGCTTTGGGGAAAAGTACGCGAAGAAGGAGCCTGGTCGAGACGCAGTCCAATCCTTCCTCAGCCTCTTTGACCTCGAGCAGCGGCAGGCCTTCGGATTGCCGGCCAAGAAGACCTCCATGTGGAGGGACGCGTGCTCTGCGGCTTACACTTTGGCGTGGCACATTTTCAAGAGCCACGTGGAGATTGCGTCCGGATGAGCCGGCCCCAGGCCCAGACGGGCATTTTGTGGAGCTCAGGGTTGGGCGAGGCCTGGACGCGCTTGCGGGGCACAGGCCCCGCAGGTTTGTCGGCGCACACAGCAGCCTAGCTAAAGCACGCGCACGCCAGATTTTGTGGCTTTGCCCAGCTAAGGGTTGGGATGGCTGCTGGGGAGTGGCATCTTTTACAGGCTAGGTGCTTTGCCCCAGCTGGCACACAGGCCCAGCTAAAGCGATCGGTGTGCCTTGCAGGTCCAAAAAGAGGCGCGCGGCTTTTTTGTTTGCGCTTTTCTTCAAATGTTTTATTTGCTTGGTCTTGGTTTTGGGGGGTCAGGGATTACCTTTTTTTGAGGCCAAGCTTTGTGGAAGGCTTGGTTTTGTGAGATTTTCCTGGTGGAGCGCGTGTGCAGGGGTGTTGGGTTTTCCTTCCGTGGCATGCGTGATGTGAGGGTCTTGCAGCTTGCGTTTGTACTGGTTGCTTGAGGGCTTATTCCTGTCGCGCATTTCGTTTTTGCTGACTATGGCCAGGCCGTTTACTAGCTTGCGGATGTGGTTGCGCACCTGTTTGCCCACTGCGGCCTTTTTCAGCTCAGCTTGGACCAAGTGACTCACCCACATTTGCACGCATGCGCACACACACACACGATCCTACACACAAACAATGACAATCACGAGCATTTCCGTTTCTTGCATGCCTTCATCGTTCATGCATCGTGCGCCCACATCCAACAAGCAGAAAGCAGCAAAGCACGTGCATTGAACACGACACACAAGCAAGGCGCATTCATCCGTACGTCTATGTCGCATAAACGTTTGATAACCTTTCGTCAAGCATGTTCATCTATCGATTTCTGGCAATTTGCCGCTCAACTTCGTAGTTGGCCTTTTTACTTGAAGCTATGGCGCCGGCGGGGCGCGCACTGGAAATGGTGGGCGGAAATGGTGTACACGATGCGGCCATGGCCTCTGAGGCCCCCCGTGTGCACGAGGCATCAGTGGGGCGTCTGCCGCCTGGAGCCGATTTGGGAGATGGCCCAACTGGAGCGCCTAACACGGAGGGACGGTGGCTCACGCCCTCGGGCCCAGTTGGAGCTAAGGGGCCAATGGAAACGGCGCCGACGCAGGCCTTATTCATCCGGTCTGAGTGGTGTGAAGAGATTTTCCGTCATGGGAAGATTTGGGAGATCCGTGGGACGCGCACCGCCAAGCGCGGTCCCCTATGCATAGCTGCTTCGAAGACGAACACATTGGTGGGAGCAGTGACTTTGGTGGATTGTTTGCCGGTGGGGAAGCGTGGGGCCGGCGGCGCCTGGGAGCCGGCAAGCGGGAGCCGGGACGACGGAGAGAACTTCATCTGGCGGCCGGAGAACCACAGCAAGCACAGGATTCAGGATGAAGGCGTGGTGCAAAACTACACCCGGCTGTGGGCGTGGGTTTTCGAAGACGTCACTGCATTTGAACCACCGGTGCCTTGGAAACCGCCCCATGGGCCAGTTCAATTTGTCCCTCTAGCCAGATCTGTCAGGGCGAGCGTCAGCCAAAGGCTCTGCGCAACGGGCCCGCAGAGCCCAGAGCTGCCGGTGGCCGGCGCCTTCCTGTGGGACCCTCGGGCCGTGGACTTCTTGCCGGAACTACTTGCACCGGGCACGCATTATCCCCCGTGCCTCCGCGCCGACTTAGATGTGGCAGGGCCTTTGTCGTGGGATGACGGTGTCTTGACAGTCCCACCGGATGGATATTGCTTAATCTATGCATATCTCGCCGCCTGCGATCCACAAAAATGGGCTGCTTTGCCACGGAGCCACCTGGGTTTTATCCAGGATCGAGCGGCCGAGCGCGCGGCCCTGGCCCAGGCCAAAGAAATCCTGGCGCGCATCGTCCAAAGGATGCGGGAGGACGGTGCAGGACAGCAAGCTGCGCGCTTGGAGGCTGGAGGATATCCTGGAGACGAGGAAATGCGCTACTACTCGGCAGAATTTGGGTGCGCCATTCTCGTCGTCCCCACCGATGCTGACGCATTTCCACTGGTGTGCGGGAATGGATCAATAGGGATGGAAGTGCAACATACCTTCGACCGAGGGGCCGGTGGAGCCGCAGGGCATTTTGTCCTCGCGCGCAGCTGGTTGCAGCCACCTTTCACCGCGCTCGCTGCGCCTCCCGCGGATCAAGCACCAGTGAGGCGACGGCTGCGTGGAAAGCAGAATGCTTTGGCGTCGTATGGACCCCCTCCAAGCAAAACAGACTTGCTACCGAAGGAGCCGCCGGCGCAGCGACCGGCAGTGCAATCTGCGAGAAAGGCGGCCGAACGGCCGGCCGCGGCCAAGAAGGGCCCCGCAAGGTTTTGCGTCGGGGCAGGCGGCGCGCCATGCTGCTTCAGCACGACCGTCATTGGTCAGCCCGCCCGGCGGGGCAAGGGCAAGGATCATTGCATCTTTTGCTCCGTTGCGTTGTTGCGGGCGGCTTTTTCGACGCCTCGCGGACGGGGAAACATCAGCCAGAGTTTGAAGAAATACTTCGCCGCCCAACCAGAAGGGCTGGGCGTTCTGGAGAAAGCCTTGGCAAAAGTGGAGGCGTGCAGCCCCGGGTCGGCGGAAGGGTTCCAAATGAAAGCCCGTGCGCCGAAAAGAATGAAAGCCGCAGCTGGCGGGGACGCCCGTGGCCGGGCATCGGAGGACAAGGCAGCGCAAAGGCAAATGGCCTGGACAGCTTGCAAGCAACGCCGCCAGCCAGTGCAGCCCGACCGTTCAGACCAAGAGCGGTCTTCCTACCGAGCGGCCGTGCTCGCAGACCGGCGCAAAGGCAAGGCGAAATTCTTTCCGGAAGCCCCGCGGCGCGCCCGGGCCACAGGGGACGATTTGATGGCCCTGGTCGATAAACTTGCCCCCGGCCACTTCGTCCGGCGCGGCCGCAGATTTGCAGCGCTGGTGTTCCGAAGGGTCGTGGGGCATGTGCCCGAAATGCTACATGCTCCAGCCGCGGCCCCTGTCGGAGAAAGCCCTCCTACAAGAGGCGCGCCCGGAAGTGGCAGCCAGCGCCTCTAAGCACGGTCACATGGTTCCCCGGCCGGAGGACGTGCCAGAGCCTCTCCAGAACTTATCGACGGACATCATCGAGGCCTTGAGGCCTCTGACAATCGATGTGGGCCCTGAGGTGCGCGCAGATAACGGCGGGTTCCGCAAGAAAATGCGGATGGTGACCTTCTCGTGGGACGTGCTCCCCGTAGATGACAAGGTGGCCGCCCTGAAGCCCAAGGCTTTCCGCAAGAAGGCGAAAGCAGCCTTGAAGCACTTGCTGGCCAACCCCATGGAGATCGAGTACCACGACTATTACAACAGGCAGAAAGCTTTCTTGGTGCGTTGCCGGGGCGAGCCCACTCCCCAGCAGGCCCGCCGGCCTTTACATTTCATTGAGTCCGTTGGCCTGGAGACGGCCCTTTGGCCGCACCTCTACTGGAAGACGACCATGTGTGAGTCGTACGAGAGGCTCAATCGGCAGCGGCTCGAGCAATTGGAAGGGCGGCGCAAACGCCGGAGGGTGGAGGAGGCCGGGAAAGGGGAGGCAGAAGCAGAGGACCCCGAAAGCGAAGGGGGCATGTCATCGGAACGGGCGATCGAAGCCGCAGAGCCAGGGCCGGACTGCGATGACGACGACCAGCCTGACCCGCTAGATCGCCGCCGAAGCATCAAAAGGTCTTTCCAGGCCAAGCTCTTGGGGCCCCTCCTGGGGTATGCCGCCGATTTCACTTTGGTCCAATATGTGTTTGACTTACATCTGTGGACCGACTTAGGAAGTAAGAAGGGTTCGGCCGGGACCACGGCGATGCGCCTCACGATGGCCGGGCATCCTATGTCGCCGCTGTACTGGCAAGACGTGAAGTATGGCCTGTTCGACCTAGTGGCGCAATTGGGGTATCCGCAGCTCTACTGGACGATTGCCCCTTGGGAGCAGAGCTTACCGTATCACAGCTTCATGCTGGATGAAATGCAAAAGCTGCTGCTGCAGCGCACTCGCCTGGCGCCGTTCGAGGCCATGCATTGGGCGCATGCCATGTTTGAGATCTGCAGAGGCCTGCTGGCCGGACATGGCCGGGCTGGAGGACAAGGCTGGAAGCAGCACGTGCTTGGCTCCAAAAGGGCTGGCGGGGAGAGAGAGCCCAACAATTGCGTGCAGTTCTTCACGCGCCTTGAATTCCAAGACGGCTCCCGGAAGGCCGGGACGCAGCGCTATCACGGCAGCGGGCGCCCCCATGCGCATGCTTTGTTCTGGGTGCGCGACGTGCGAGTGGCGGTCTTGGAGGACGCAGTGGCAGCAACCCTGGATTGGCCCGCAGGCTCGGAGAATTTGGCGGCCTTTGTGCGAGCGTCGCAGCCAGATCGGGACGGGAACAGCCGCTGGCCAGTGCACGAAGGGGCTTCCAAATACAGTACCGAGCGCGAGCAGCTGCAGGTGCACCATACGGAGGAGGATGCCGCGGAAGGGGTCCGCGGGTACTTCGTGCCTATCATGGATGCGCTTCGGTGCCACCAAGATCTGCAAGTGGCGCAGGGGCGGGGGATGCTTTTGTCTTACGTGACCAAATACGTCGCCAAATGGAGCGACTCATCCTACGATGAATGGATGAGCGATTCGGCCAGTGCCACCAGCCTTTGTCGCAAAGTGCTGTTCGAGTACCACCCCTTCGAGCCAGAAATGGCGTTGCAACTGAGCGGGGCCACCTTTCGGCAGTGGGAGTTCGGCTCCATCATGGGCGGGCGTCGCTCGATTCGCGCTCCGCGGCCTGCCAGTGTGGACCAGCCGGAGGTCGTTGGCCATTACGTGCAGGCCACATGGCGGCGAGATTCCATGTCATTGTTGGAATTCCTACGGAAGTCGGATGCCAGTGGGAAAAGTGGCCGCGTTGCGTCTTGGCTGCGGAAGACGTGGGAGGCCCTGCCCAATCCAAAGGAATCTTTGGAGGCGTTTGCCAATGAGTACGTTCTGCGAGGGGAGCAAATCGTGGCGACTGAGTATTTGTGGCGCCTCAATGACAATTATTATGGCCTGTGGTGCATGATGCACATACCCTTCCGCTCCCTGGAGGTGTTCCACGTCCCCTCTATCGTGCAGAAGGTGCCGCTGCGCTATCGCTGGTTGGCCACGGCGCTGCACTTGACCGACGACCCTGCCACGGCCCCGCGCCATCTCCGGGGATATTGGCGGGATCCCCTGCGCCAGACCCGCGACATGCAGTTGGAGGCCTGCGTCGATGCCTTTATCGCAGATGTGGTTGCCTTCGTTGCGGCGCAGACTTTAGCCATCGACCGATATACGGACGGGCACTTGGATCGCGCCGAAGAGGGGCACGTAGAGCCGGATGGTGCTGGGCCTGCGCCTGCTGCTGCCGCGGCCGTCACTTTTGAGGGCAAGCAAAAGCTTCTCTACAAGGCTGTGGGGGCGCGAGTGCAGCTGTGCGTGCGAGCCCAGCGAGCAACGAGGGAGGAGGAGCAGGACGCCCTGCGCGAGCAAGCCCGGGGAAGCGCGCACAAGCCGGTCGTCTGCTCCGGTCGGCCGGGCGCGGGGAAGACCACGGTCGTGCACAGGAACGCGCTGGAGACTTTGGCGGCCGGCGGATCCGTCCTGGTGGCCGTCCCTACGGCGCGCCTCTCCACGCGCATGGCTGCCAAGCTGGGCTCCCATGACCGCCTGGTGGTCGACACCGTTGCTGCCGCTTTCCAACTGCACAAGCCCGAGCAGGAGGCCCTCTATGCCGTGTATGGGTATGACCTGATCGTTGTGGACGAATTTTCACAATTGAGCCAACAAGATTTTGAGCGCATTTTGCGCCATTGGCAGACCAGCTGCCTGCGTTGGTCTTTCTGGGCGACAAATATCAGTTGCCTGGCAGGAGCCCGGACAGGCCCTGGCACAGCGCGGCTTGGCAGAGCCGTGCTCTCCATTTCATCGAGCTGTTCCAGGTGCACCGAGCAGATGACGCGGATTTCCTGGCCACCCTGGACTTGCTCCGGACCAGCATGCCCAGTGAAGCGCAATTGCGCAAAATTTGCAAATTTCACAAGGCCTGGGTGGGCGACCAGCCGACGGCCAAGGACATCGGAAGGCTGTTGCGCGAGCACCCTGAAGCCACGATGGTGGCGGCCACGCGCAGGGGAGTTGCCTTGATCAATCAGCTGGCTTTGGAAGCCTTGCATCCACGCGCGCAGCCGCTGGCCACCCTGCCAGGTGCTTTCGAGGACAATCCGGAGAACTACCTGGCCAACGGAGACCTGCGCACGGATCGCCGGCCTGTGCCAACCGATGTGCCCATCCACCGAGGCATCCATCTCTACCTCACTCGCAACGTGCGCAAAGCCGACGCCTACATCAACGGCATGCGCTGCAAGGTGACGGGCTTCGAGGCAAAGATGCAGGTCCTTTGGGTGATGACGGATACGGGCAAGCGGTTGCCCATCACCCGGTGGCACGATCCCGACCACGCCGGGCTGGTCTATTTCCCCATCCGGCTGGGATATTGCACCACGGTGCACAAGGTCCAGGGAGACGAGTTCCCCTTCATCATCATCTACTTGGACGCTGATAACAAGCCGGCCGTGGCATATACGGCTTTGAGCCGGGTGCGCGATGCGCAATCGTACTTGCTGGGTGGCACCATGACACGCAAGCACTTCGTGCCTGTCACCATGCGGTGAGGGTCTTGCCGCCGATGTTTCCGGCCATGGGGCGAGGCGCCTTGCATTCCGCGCCTGGCTCTGCTAAAAAAAGCCTGCGGTCGCACTGTCTGTGTGGCCACAGACGCTGCCTTCTGGCTACAGACTGTGTCGCTTGGGAAAAATGACGCGGATGCTCGTTCCATATGCAAAGGTGAAAAAAACTTCTTGCGATGCGTCCTGCTGGCATACCGTACTTTGCAAACATGTCAGGAATGCAAATGCTAAAAACGTCTTGCGAAGATGTGTGCTTGCAACATAAGCGCATACCAAAAAGTATACCAAATTTTTTGACGGTGCAAGGTTTGCTTGGGTGAGCTACAGCGGTGGCTGACTTAAAACAGAAACTTGTGTAGGAAGCTAAAGCTTATGTTGGTATTGGGTTTGGGGGAAAAAAACCTCCCGGCCCGACAGGGGTTTTATTTAATCTAAAACCCTAAACCCGTTAAAAGGTGAAAATTTGGGTGGTTGGGGTGGGCAACTCAATACTAAGACGGCGCGCCCCCGGCACCAGGGAGGCAGGAAAGGATCAATTGGACAGCCTGCAAGGCACCAGGGAGGCACCAGGGAGGCAGGAAAGAACCATTTGAACAGCCTGGGAGGCACCAGGGAGACTCGGAGTACAGGAATGCCGATCGAATCCCGGTTTTGGAAGGGCGCCGGATTTTGTCTAACTTTTAATACAATTTCAATGGCGATCGGCCCGGTTCGCGGCAAATCGTGGGGTGGGGCCCCCGCCCAGCTTTTCGTAGCGCGCGCTCCGTCCCGCGCTCCCGCGGCCAGCGCTCGCGCGGGGGCCTCTTGGCAGCCCTTGTAGCACAGAATCCTCTTCTACAGGCGCTCGTAGCACAGACTCCTCTTCGACAGGCTCGCATGGCACAGAATCCGCTTCCGAAG